ATATACAGAAGAGCAACTCTATATTGAGTAAAGATTTCAACAGTTTGCACCCACACACACAAAGTATAAAGTGCCGTTTAAAGATTAGTTTTACCGTTAATTCTCATAGTACAACACATTAAGGGCAGAGGTACTAAGGAGGCAGGTACCAATGCCAGCACACTTGGTAAAGAGACAAATATAAATACACAACTGATCCAAAAGATAGGGTAAGTGTCGCTCCCCCTCTTCGTGGAGGAACGACACAGGACCCTGCGCTGTTCTTTCGTCTGCTCGGCCCTCCCTGGGTTTTCTGCTGGTTCTTCCCGGGTTGGCTACTATCCCTTCCACCTCCGTGGAAGGGCAGTTCCCCCTGGCCACATTCCCCACTTCCGCAGGGGAGCGGCACACCGCCGGCCAGCTCTCTCGGGGGCTGCACAGGTGTTCCCCTTAGATGTTCCCCTTAGATGTTCCTGGTGCATGCCGTCTCTCTCCTCCTTTATAGTCCTCCTCCGCCAATCCCAACTAGGCTGCCCACACGCCGAGTACGCTGCTCTCCAATCAGGAGCAAGTCCTACAGTTTATTGGTTGAACTGGAGGCAGCTGTGCGGAAGCTGTTTACTTCTCTCCCAGCGCCATATTGTGGGAGAGCAGATGCATAGAATAAGTCTTAATTCCAGTAACTCAGTCCAGTCCGGGCTGCTCCCCACAGGTAAGTGTCGAAGAGATTACACAAATAAGACCAGTGTAAGCAAATAATGAAAGATAGAATCAAAAGAGTTGAGAATGATCCTGCGGGGGAAGCAGGTCGCACAGCAGACTCATAGAATGGCAAATGCCCAAAACAGCACTCCTGCCTCAGAATCAACCCTTGGGACATTCGGATCTGACTAAAAGGTCCATGAGAGTCTCGCAGGCATGGAAAGCCATGACACAGTGGCAAAAAACAATCTAAATGAAGGATCCTGGTGAACAACACTCCAGCAGAAGGATCAGGCCATCAAGGAGAGAGGTGCCTTTCTCTGAAGGGAGGAAGGAACCTCCACTGTGATATGGCCTTGACTAAACAAATTCAGAGTTGGTGAACTCAAGGGGCTTCCATAGCCTAGACAGCTCATAGCAAGAGTCTCGGGTGATTGCTGACGTCATAAATAAGAGTGCCAATTGTTAAATCAACAACGGGAGTCACTGGGTTCATGCTCCCCTCGCGGGATCTCTGTCCTTAATATGTTTATCTATGAAACTCAAAAACAACACTACTAGTCGAACAATACCCTATACCTGGTTTGGTTGTGTGAGTGCAACCTGTTGAAATCCCTGCTTAGTATATACTAAATTGATCTTCGGTATATGAAGGTAACCGAAAATGAAACGTGATGAAGGGGGGGGAGGGGAGATGAAGTGGGTGAGGGGAGGGCCACGGGAGGGAGGGAGGTAGGGGGGAAGCCACAACAATGCAAAAGATGCATTTTATATTCTACTTAAAACTATTGGTTGAGCTCTGTAATTAATACACAATTACTCTTAGGTGTTTAATTAATGCTATAACTAGTACTCAAATAGTATTTTACACTTTATGTTTCTGTGTGGGAGCAAAATGTGGTAATCTTTACTTAACATATGCTAAATTGATCTTCTGTATATAAAGATAATTGAAAATTAATTGTGATGTGAAGGGGAAGGGGAGAGGGAGTGGGAGAGGGGAGCGTTGTGGATGGGAGGGAAGACACGGGGCAGGGAGGAGGCTATTGTGGTCCATAAGCTGTACTTTGGAAATTTATGCTCATTAAATAAATTAAAAAAAAAAAGAAGGACAGAGGTACTACATGGGGAGCAAGTGCACAGTGACTCCTGTTGTTGATTTAACAATTGACACTCTTATTTATGACATCAGTAATCACCCAAGGCTCTTGTCATGAGCTGCCAAGGCTATGGAAGCCTCTTAAGTTCACAAACTCTGACATTATTTAGATAAGGCCATAAACAAAGTGGAAGTTCTCTCCTCCCTTCAGAGAAAGGTACCTCCTTCTTTGATGGCCCCTTCTTTCCACTGAGATCTCATTCACAGAGATCTTTCATTTAGGACAGTTTTTGCCAGAGTGTCTTGGCTTTCCATGCCTGAGATACTCTCATGGGCTTTTTAGGCAGATCTGAATGCCTTTAAGGGCTGATTCTGAGGCCAGAGTGCTGTTTAGGGCATTTGTCATTCTATGAGTCTGCTTTGTATCCCTCTTCCCATGTTGGACCATTACCTCCTTTTTAATTCTATCAATTATTATTAGCAGACACTGGTTTTATTTATGTGATCCCTTTGACTCTTAATCCTATCTTTATGATCAGTTATGAACTTAAACTGATCACTTTAACTAGTAAGGTGGCATTGGTACCTGCCAACTTAATGGGATTCGGATTCCCATGGCAAGTTTTTAGCTTTACACTTAGGGGTAAGGCTGAGAGAGCATGTGCCAAACTGTACATCTCCTCCCTCTCTTATTCCCACTCTTATTTTTTAATAGGGATCAATTTTCAGTTAGAGAAACATACTTTTTAAAAAAAAAAAAGTACTACAGTACCACATACTGGTCATAACCAGCATGATCATTTAGTACAGTGATGCATATTGAAACAACTACTGTGCTCCAAATGGCACCCCAGGGAAGGTGGGGAGAGAAACAGGGCTACCTTTTGTTATCTTTAGATGTCAAGTTCAATTATTGATTCTGAGATCACACTTTTTTTTAAAAAAATGTGTTAACTAATAGACTTTCCTCTTAGTACTGCTTTGGCTACATCCCATGTTTCAATATGTTGAGTTCTTATTTTCATTTATCTCAATATTTTCCAATTTCCCTTGTGACTTCTTCTCTGACATATTCATTGTTTAAAAGTTTGTTTTGTTTATACTTATTTATGGATTTACTAGTTTACCTTTTGTTCTTTCTAGCTTCATTCCATTTTGATTAGAAAATAACTTCATATGATGTCAATCTTAAAAGTTTTTAATGTTTGGTTTGTGACCTAAGTGAGTCTATCCTGGAGAACATGAGTGTCTATTCTGCTGTTTGGTGGAAGATTCTGTAAATGTCTGTTAGGTCAAATTGGTCTGTGTTGTTCAAGTCCTTTGGTTCCTTATTGATCTTTTGTGTGATTGCTCTATCCATTATTGGAAGTGGAATATAAACTGGGAGAATTGAAGAGACAACTAGACAGCAAGCCACAAATATGGGAGACTGTAATAATCCACTTCCAATAATGGATAGAGTAGTCACACGAAAGATCAATAAGGAACCGAAGATCTTGAATAACACAGACCAATTTGACCTAAGAGACATTCGCAACCACTGTTTCTGTCAGCACTCTTGGAGTCAAGCAACTCAGAAACCACTCCCTCGGGCAACCCTCTAAAAAGCAAGAATTTTGGATGCACCTTTTTTTTTTTTTTTTTTTTTTTTTTTTAACAGGCAGAGTTAGAGAGAGAGACACAGAGAGAAAGGTCTTCTTTCCGTTGGTTCACCCCCCAAATGGCCGCAGCACTGCGATGATCCGAAGCCAGGAGCCAGGTGCTTCCTCCTGGTCTCCATGTGGGTGCAGGAGTTAGGGTTAGGGTTAGGGTTAGGGTTAGGCACTTGGGCCATCCTCCACTGCCCTCCTGGGCCACAGCAGAGAGCTGGACTGGAAGAGGGACAACCGGGACAGAATCTGGCGCCCCATCCGAGACTAGAACCTGGGGTGCCGGCGCTGCAGGTAGAAGATTAGCCTAGTGAGCCGCGGCGCCGGCTGGATGCACCTTCTACGCTCTTTCTTTCAAGGGAGAGGACAGGATTTGGAAGTTTTCTCCCCATTGCACAGTAGTGTTCCAAGGAGGGAGAAGAGGTAGTGAAGGAAAAGTGCGACTAGCTTTCTCACTCCCTTCCACGTGACTCTTCCCAGCTTTTAGCTGTTTGAGGTGCTGCAATCTGTAAATAGCCTCTGGAATTCTCACAAAGGCAATTTTTCCAGTGTATTGCTATTAAGTCAGCATCTCTACAGGGAAACAAGGGACCAGTGCCTCTTAGTCTATCATTTTTCTGACACCACTCCAACTTAGATTTTTCTTTCTTTCTTTCTTTAAATTTTAGCTCTCACATATAAGGGACAACATGCGGTATTTGTGTCTCCGATTTAGATTTTTAATAAGAAGATCTTTTCTGTTTTCTGTAGACAACGTTTTGTTTCTGGATTGATTTTTTTTGTGTGTGTTTATGCTGAGTTTAGATTATACCCTCTCAACTTCCAACGTCTATAGATTCCGGGCCACAGCAGAGAGCTGGACTGGAAGAGGAGCAAATTGGTGACACTGTCAGCAGGAAGCTAATTGATAATTATGAGCTGTTTTCTTTCTTTGTGCCCTTCTTCATATAGGAATATCTGGCTTAGAGGAAGCTGGGACAGGAAGTGGAATCTGGGCTGCAGGCCATCACACCACACTAGCTTCCCCTGGAGTCCTCCCACCTGTCCGTGGGTGCACTGAAGCTCTGGCTTCTGTTCCTCACGTACCAAAACAACAAAGCCAGACGTTTGGACCTCAGTGACTGAAACAAGAAGAATTACTGCACTGAGGCGAACATCTGGGTCTTGCTTTGTTTTCCAGAGCAGTTGTATGACATCTCTTTGACGCTCACATTTTGTCCTGCCAGATGTTAGGCCTCAGAATAAAGCAGTGGGTCCCAAATATGCTGAAAAAAAAGAAAAAAAGCAAAAAAGCCTCATGTGTATCAAATGACTTTAAAATCCAATGGTGAAATGAGGTAACAGGGGAATGTTCCTACTGTAATTCACAGGGATGGTTGTTTTTAACTTGTGCAAGCTACTCAAGTCCTGGTGGGCCAGAGGACACAAGTGTGACTGCCATCTGGCATCAGACACCTGCTTCGACAGACATTTCCGAGGGGAGGGTTGGCTGACAGACCATATTGCCATATTTTTTCTACAATGGTTATTTTCTTTGCTTTTTTTTTTTCCTCTTCATTTCTCTCTTTTAGGTTAGATGCAGACAAACCAATACGGTACTTGGAAAACAAGGCAGCTTTAAACCAAGCACTAGAACGGTTGAATTGGCCCATTTCGTTGAAAGAGCTGTCAATGCTAGAAAATGAAATCCTAGCTGGGAAAAGGTACATCCAGCAGGCCATGGAATTCCAGGAGGCCGCCCAGAAGGATTATGTGAACAAGGCACTGGGAGAGGTGGGTGCCACGGAGTTCTCCACATTTCCTCCCTCCCTGCCTGTCCCAAGTCACTGCTGTCCCTGTGCCGGTCTTCCTCCTCTCCCTCCACCCTCACCACACTGAAAAGAGTTAGAACCAACCCAGTTAACCTCTCAGGTCTTTTCTCATCAGAAAAGAAATGCTTTTCGATTTGACGATAGCCTTATTTTTAAAATAACACATCTTTTAATTGAAAAACAAAACCAAACGTTAATCTAATGCTGTGAGTGAAAGCCTGGGCTTTAGTAGCAGCCAGACCGAGGTCCAGCCTCGAACCTACCACCTGATCTGTGCGTGGTGCTGATCATTACTCAGTGTCTTTAAACCTCAGTTTTCTGTAAGCAGTATCTGCCTCCTGGGTTAAAGGGTAACATTAGCATTTAATGTACATAGTGTTGAAGGCCACCATAAGTGTTAGTAATTGATGACAATGATGATGATGATGATAATGATGACAAAGCAAACCTCTTAAAATGAAAAAAAAATAATAATTCATATTCTGCCTGCCTTAATACCACCACTTTGGAATACTGCCTTTCATTTTTTTTCTCAAGTAAATAGCACTTTAAAAAAGATTGATTTATTTATTTGAGAGGTAGAATTACAGAAGGAAAGACAGAGAGAGAGGTCTTCCATCCACTGGTTCACTCCTCAAATGACTGCAACGACAGGAGCTGAGCCAACCCAAAGCCAGGAGCCAGGAGCCTCTTCTGGGTCTCCTACATGGGTGCAGGGTACCAAGCACTTGGCCCATCTTCTGCTGCTTTCTCAGGCCATCGCAGGGAGCTGGATTAGAAGTAGATCATCCAGGACTCAAACCAGTGCCCATATGGCTAAGTCTATTATGCCATAGCACTGGCCCCTGTAAATAGTACTTTTTATAATAGATGCAGTCAGGGTATCCATAATTACTTTATATTCTGCTCTGTTCTTAATGTTATTTCATAAGCATATGTTTCTACTGCATCTTTAGATTGCTGTGTCATGGTTGCCTTATGTTCTGTGGTCTGTGTGTACTCTGGTTTACTGAGCTCTGCACCTGAGTGTTAGACATTTGGGTTATTTTCCAGGTTCTGTTCTTTCACATAGTGTTTACATGACTCCTGCGGTACATATAGTCGACGTTTTTTTTGGTTTTTTTTTGTTTTTTTTTTTTTTTGCTAGGATACCATCTTTTTTTATTTTTATTTTTTATTTGACAGGTAGAGTTAGACAGTGAGAGAGAGAGAGACAGAGAAAAAGGTCTTCCTTCCGTTGGTTCACTCCCCAAATGGCCACTATGGCCAGTGCTGCGCCAATCCAAGCCAGGAGTCGGGCACTTCCTCCTGGTCTCCCATGTGGGTGCAGGGCCCAAGCACTTGGGCCATCCTCCACTGCCCTCCCAGGCCACAGCAGAGAGCTGGACTGGAAGAGGAGCAGCTGGGATTAGAACCTGGCACCCATATGGAATGCCGGAGCCACAGGCAGAGGATTAACCAAGTGAACCACGGCGCCGGCCCCCTAGGATACCATCTTGATAGTGGGATCCTGCGGCTCTAAATAGATGTTACTGGTGTGGCACTCCCCCCCTTTCTGGCTGCATGTGGATTTGTGTGGACATGGAACAGTTCCTCCACAACCTTACTGCATCCTAGAAGGTTTCTGGGTATTCGCCATATGAGAGTCTGAAAAGCGTTCCTGGAGAACTGACCGTCAGGATTCACCCTCTGGGTTTCAGTGTTGGCCGAGAGATACTGATTTTGCCTGGTTGTAAATTCTGCACTTACTGCTATAGATCCATGTGTTTTGTTAGTTTTTCTTTACTCTTTTTCTCTCTGAAAATCACATTTTTGTCTTTAACGTAAAAGTAATGTCTTTTGTGCAGAAGGCAAACACTTTATTACAAAACAGCATGTGTCTACTGATGTTACTCAAACAAAGCAATTGTTTCTGTTTCCTTGGGAGACACCCTCTGGTCCTCTACACATTCTGCTGTCTTCACCTCATCTTTCTTACCTGGTTGCCCTGGGGACATCTAACAGTCAAGATGACTGAAGGTTAATTTCCTGCTCCTTGAGTCTATGCTCTTCCTGTCATTGCGCATCTTCCTGTTCTCTTGTCCCGTCATCTATTCACTGAACCATTTGTGAGAGCCTACGAGACACAAAGCACCATCCTAGGCACTGCGAGTAGCTGGAACACAGTGAACTAAGTCCTACCCTTACTCCAGTGAGGGAGTCAGAGACCATTATTGGTCCCAGTGATGAACTTTTCTGTGTTGAACTTTGGAGACACCATGGCCTGAAAGCAGAACTTTCTAGCACTTTTTTTTAAATTTCTTTTCTTTTCTTTTCTTTTCTTTTTTTTTTTTTTTTTTTTTTGACAGGCAGAGTGGACAGTGAGAGAGAGAGACAGAGAGAAAGGTCTTCCTTTGCCGTTGGTTCACCCTCCAATGGCCGCCGCGGCCGGCGCACCACACTGATCCGAAGGCAGGAGCCAGGTGCTTCTCCTGGTCTACCATGGGGTGCAGGGCCCAAGCACTTGGGCCATCCTCCACTGCACTCCCTGGCCACAGCAGAGAGCTGGCCTGGAAGAGGGGCAACCGGGACAGAATCCGGCGCCCTGATCGGGACTAGAACCCGGTGTGCCAGCGCCGCAAGGCGGAGGATTAGCCTAGTGAGCCGCGGTGCCAGCTCTAGCACTCTTTTAGTCTATGTTATGTTAAATTTGCAAGTAGGAAGTGTTGCTAGTGGAGGGAAAACATGTCACTTGTGATCCGGAACAAAGATAGTGTGTTCTATGAATTTGTCTGGCAATCCAAAGCTCACTGTCACCAGACATAAATTCATTGTTTTCTTTCTTTATTCTCTTTCCACAAAGTTGGAATAAAAGTAATTTTCATAATTTATTCACCCAAAAACATTTGTTCACTCCCTACTGTGGATAAGACTCTGTTCTTGGCAAAGGTGATCCCAGGAGAACAGTGTGTCTCATCTTTCTCCTCCCTGGGGTCTCCCTAGGAGAAACAGTAGATTGGATACAAAACTTGGGTCTGTTTCCTGCATCAAGCATGTGGGCTCAGGATGGTGGAGGAGACATGTGGAGTGGAGCACAATCCCTGCGAGAGCGCCTCCTCTGGCCTTACTTGTCGCTGCGCCCTAGCGCTAAGAGTAGAGCTTGCTCCCAGTGGGCACTCAGCTGGTATGTACTGAATGAATAAAACCCCGATCTTTATGGAAGAGTATGATAGATGTGACGAGACAGGCACACTTACAGAACAACGGACAGACAGGCAGAAGTGCATAATTCTGCCTGGGGACTTGGGGATGGCTTCACAGAGGGGTGATGATCCAGTTTATTCTAGAAAGATGTATAGGAAATGGGGATGGGGGTGTGAAAGAAGCAGCCTGTGCAAAGGCAAGGATGTAGGGAAGAAGCTGGGATGTTCAAAAAAAAGTGTGGCAAGATGGTACCAGATAGGATAGACTCAGAATTCTCTGCTGGGATCCGGGACCTGTGCTGGTAGGAAAATGGACACTCAGGGATGAATTTCAACAGGTGAAAGACAGTAACAGACTTGTGACTTGGAAGCATCATTTTAGCATCCAGGTAAGCCTCAATGTAGAGGGGAAAGACCAAAATCAGGTGTAACATTCCTGTAGGGAGGTTCTCCTGTAGGGAGCTCCTGAGCCAAGCATGAGCAGTGGGGAGTGAACGGGTAAAGAGAGCTGAGTTGTTGGAAAGTTGAATGTGGGGGGAGGCAGAGGAAAAAGTTGAAGATGCCCACAAAACCTCTATCTTGGACAACTTGGGGGATAAGGACACTGTTAACTCCTTCCTCCTACCTCTCTGCTCCCTGGGGAGACAGATGTTCCTGGGCTGGCCTGCCTAATCCCCTGTCTTTCTCCAATCCCTTGCCACACTGGTATTCCCTTCACAGCACCTCTCCCCACCTGATGTACACATTTAAAGTACGTGTTCTCTGCCAGGATAAGGGCGTGACCTGGACTGTGATGTACTAAGTGCTCCCAGGACCTACAAGAGTGGTTGGCACCATGTGGACCCTCTTAAAAATATCAACGAATAAATGAAAGAACAAGCAAGGAGAGAAAGAGGTGTGATGAGAGATTTTCAGAGACAGGTAGAGGTTTTAGCCTTTAATTCCTAGGTGTCCCAAGGCTTCCAGGTGAGGAAGGCCAGCAGAGAGCCCCATGTTTGAAGCTTAGGAGAGAGGGCTGAGTTAAGGAGATAGATTTGGAGCCATTTGAGGTGCCAAGAGGAAGAGGAGACAGAGGACTGGAGAGACTCAGAAGTCATAAGAGCAGGAGGCTCGGGGTAGAGGGCTACAGTGTGAGAGCCAAGGGGAGGGCGGTTCAGAGCCCTGGCGCTCACGTCAGACGAGCCTGGATGCAAGTCTCAGCACTGCCACTTGGAACCAGGTGACCTTCCGTGGGCCCTCTACACCTGGTATCTTTGTCTTTAACATAGAAAAATCAGAGGATCAGCCTAAAAGATAGTTGTAGGACAGTGCATATCATGTGCTTGGGACAGTGTGCAGCACTGGGCGCTCACCAGTGTGATGATGTTCAATCGTAAGTATGTTGTTCATTATTGCAACCTCTGTCCCTAAAGTTGTGATCAGGGAGTTTTGAAAAGTTACACAGAATGATATTTGAAAAGCCATTGGATTTGGCAAGAGAGGGCTCATGGGTGACATTAGCCGGAAGAATGGTGGTGGGACTGTGAGGCCAGTTTGTCCCTAGTGGAGGAGTGAGTGGAAGCTGAGGAAGTCGCCATAGGAGCTGAAGACTGAATCTTCCAGGTCATTCTAGATCCTCATAGAGAAGGCAGGGAGGAGGATACGGGGGACCTTGCGGGGGCGCCAGTGTGGGAGGCGGCATGTGGAGAGTGTGATGGTATCCTGAGCTACGACTGCCCTCGCCTCCATCAGGAGTGCGGCTCTCCCATCACTGCCCTGGTCCCCACAAGGCGTCCCGAGC